GACGCCGCGTAAATACGAGTATGTATGAAATTTGTATGTGCGCCCGAGTGTGCCGAAGCGGCGGCGGCGCCTCGTAGAATATTAAACGGGGCCATCACACAGAGTGGAGAGATGCCGAAAACCCTTTTGTAAACACACTTTTGGCACCGTTTGCGGCACTCCCTGCAACATTTTCTATGTGTCGCAATGGTGTTTTACTTCCAAGAATGTCCACTTCGGTCTTTTTTGTAGAAATTAAAAACAAAAATTATTCAACTTAAAATTATGGTTCAAGATTTTGAGTTTTTGCTAAAACAAAGAAAAGCTCACCAGTTTTTTTTCAAAGGCAAAACGAAATAATTTGTTGAAAAAATTCATGCAATTTCATAGCTCAATGAATTTCTCTAGAAATTTCAGTATTAAAAAAAAACCCATATCTAATAATGAAAATCACAATTCATTTTTAGGAAATTTTATTGAATTTAGCGGACTCTTATTTATTTTACAATTATTTTTTCTCTTCATCCATAAGCATTACAATTATTTTATAAAATTTATTGGCAAGATGCTTTATGATAACGAAATAATTGTTATGATTCAATAATTTGTATCAATTGCCTCTTGCAAAATATATCATGTAGTGATTGATATCGAATTAAATTTTAAATATTCAATATTTTTCAATTCCCAATAATACCTCCAACCCATACGTTACTTTCCCTCTGGCAGCGGCGACAGGAAATGAAACAAAGCGAAAAACGTACTTTGGCGTATAATAAATCCAATCGGCCAACACCCAAATATAAAGAGAGAGAAAGAGAAAGGGCTTTGAGCTGCACGTTCCATTCCTGTCAAATGCAGATTTTTCCACCTGGAGGGCGAAACAAAGAGGAAAAGGAGCGAAAATCGGCGCAGTCAGAGGAAAAATTGCTTTTGTGCGCGCGCGACAAATAACACACATTGTGCGTGTGTGTGAGCAGAAGCACTACTTTTGATACAAAGGTCGCCGCCTACGTCATCGGCGGTCCATTATTTCGGCAAAAAGCATCTCGACGCGGGTGGACAAAAGGTGTGCCGTGTACAATATAAAAGTTGATAATCTGGTGGTGGGGCGAGTGGTGCCGGCGCACAAGTGGCGCCTGCAATTATTCAACACTGCTCGACCATGGTAGAGCAGACCTCTGGTGCTGGTGCAGCATTTCGCCGGCCGGCCGCGCACCAAGCGTAGCTTCAAAGCACAAAAGGCGCCGGCGGCGCGAGCGGAGGAGAATTTCACTTTGGGCGTCAAAGTCAAAATGTTTCACAGAGCAAACAAATTGGATTCTGTCAAGTGCAGGCGACATGCATACCTGCCGCTATTCACCCTGCCAGAGAGTGTGTTATTGCCCTGCTCTCTCTCTCTCTTCTCGTCTTATCCTCGTCCTGCGCTGCCTCTCTGCACCCTTTCGAGACAATATTTCATGCATATTGTGTTTGCTTTGCTCACAGCTAGTTTTGCGTGTTGCGACCCCGATTCAGCTTTCTCTCGGCCCAAATAAATATATGCATTCCGTCGCCACCGCCGCGGCGACGATGATGAATTCGCGATATTCCCTTCACTTCCACCCCATTGTCTCCGCGCGCGTGACACTGCCGTTGATTCATGCACTGAAAGCTGTCAACCCCCGTCGACGAGGCGCTTTGGATATTGATGCTGCAGAGATGGGAAACGCGTTATAGCATTGAACACAAGGAAGCAGAATCATCTTAAATTTCATTAATAGATATATTTTGAATTTTATCACAAATAAAATGTATTTTTATAATATTTCCAATTTTCTCAAATTTTATTATAGAAAAGTCTTTTGAAATATTATCCTTTTAGACTTCTTATAAATTTTAAGTGGAATAAGGATTATTTAAGTTTATACATGGAAATTTAATAAATATTTTATTTTGCAATTTCTTTTCCTTAATAAGATTTGCAATGTTGAACAGGAGAGCCGTATGCTAAACCCCTTGCAGCAGTTTGGTGCGTCACAATTAAAACTGTCTTGAAGCAATTTATGGCACCTAACTCGCGCAGGCAAATAAATCAAAGTTTATTTGAAAGAGGATTAGGGAACAGTTGCTCTGCTTAGGACAAGGAGAAATAGGGAGAGCACTGCCGTAAATGTCTGCCGATTTGGTTTTAATTCCGAGGAACAATAAAAAGCAGGTCACTGCAGAACGATTACTCAAAATGTTATTTAGAAAGTAAGGGCAGTGTTTAACAAGATTTGGAATAATGTATTTTTTTTTTTTTTTTTTTTTGAGAAATTTAAAACCCAGCTGCAGCTGTCCAGCAAAAAACATATACGGACAGATTGGGGTGGTTTTAAAGAATGTTAATTTTGGGAAATTTTCTCCCTCAATTAATATTTTTACTATCACAACAGGAATTTTCTAACTTTTTTACACTACCTGTTTTGTCTCAAATATCTTGTGTCTCAGAACTTAATTCCACCTAAAGAAGATTAGACAAGAGTAAGTGATTTAAGGGGAAAAAATTATTTAGCCAATAAATTTTTGAATATTATACACAGATGTTTTCGCATAATTAAAAATTATAAATAATCAACACATACAAAAAAAAATCAAACAATAACTATATATAAAGAACATGAGGAGGAGACTCCATATTTTATAAATTTTTCTTAGAAGCTATTTTTTGGCAATTTATATTTTATATTAATTAAGTTAGGAGTTTTTATTTCTTAAAATTTTTCTCCAATTTCTATTTTAACTTACGGTCAAACACAATTCATTTATATCATTTTCTTGCTATTTTTTTCACTTCCCTCACCCCTCCTCAAGTTGAAACTGCTTTCCAACAATTTCCAGCAGCAGGAGCAATCTGCGCTCTTTGTGTGTTCCTTCTTAATTTGATATACGGCTTAAGAACCGGCGATGAAATTTCACATAATATGCATATGTACACACGTTATATTATGAAATACAGTAGCAGCAGCAGAATACCCCTCGAACGTACTGTGTTGTACATTTGCCCATACATATGTACCGGGTGCCTCAGCTCGCCATATCGTTACATGCCCTGGAATTGCTTTAACTCATTTAAAGTTTGCACATTAAAAACACCAGTAACCATAACAGGCCGTGCAATTGTATAAAAGGGGATTTAATTGCCGTTTAACAACCCATAACACGCGGCGGGCTCGGCTATTTCACGCTCGCAGGGCGTTTCACCCCCTGCGCTGGCCAACTTTATTCGCGAGACCATGAAAATTTTGGTATCAAAGAGGCATGCTCAAAAATTAAAACGCCGACTTGTGTTCTGCCCTCTGTAATTAGATTAAGACAGAACACAGAAGGGTGGAATGTGGGCCACTGTTCACATTCAAATTTTAATAAAAAATTGTATGCTTTTGCCGATTTTTCTGTACTAATAACTGGCCTATTAATAGCATGAACATTAAAATTTATTATTTTTTAGCGAGATTTATCCCTCAGTGTGAATTTTTAGTCATCATGATCTTTATATAATTATTTCCTTGTTTATTATACCGTTTTTATATTTTTTGTACAAAATAATATTTTTACTGCGTCGGATTATTTCAATTTGTACAAGGTGGCACTGGTGGCAGCACACGCTCGCACAGAATTTTTAAATTTCGCGCGTCGCTCGCGAAAAGAACCAAGAACAACACGAAAGACGTAAACAAAGAAATTCATCTTGAAATTCATCATGTCCATAATAATTCATCAGTGTTGTGCAGTGTTGTGGATGCGGAGTGTGAGACGAAGCAGGGAAATTCGCATTTTATTAACATTTTTCTGGTGATTTTAGGAAGAAAGTGTCTTCACGGAGTTATGGCCGGGGGACCTCTTCTTATAGTTCACATGATATGTTCGACGAGAAAGTGAAGTGAAGGAAAACCAGTGCTTCGCCTCCTCAGGAACGCAGGAAGAGCGGCCATCATAGTTCAAGGTAGGCCTTTTCTCATTCTTGATCGTCCGAGGCGTCCGAACTGGCTATCCGGCGATGTCTAGCCTCTGGTTCCGTGATAAAATTTTCCACTAACAATTGTTTCATAAATTCGTTCCGGGTTTCCTCTCCTCAAATTAGTCAATGTAATGCTTTATTGTCAAAGAAGCACTTCAACCAAGGATATATTAAGATGAATCAATTCAACCTGTCATTACATATTGCCGGAACCTCACGCAGTAGTTTCAGAGAATTGTAGAACGAGATGATTACTTTCCGGATTGCATTATTTTATTCATTTTCCCGGAACCACTAGGAACAAAATCCCCCAAGCCCACAATACATGCCATGTGACATCAATCAGCCCGCCGCCGCACAATCAGCAATTATTTTCCAATTTCGGCGCGGTTTTGCCACCCTGCACACGACAAATCCCTGCTATGTACAAGTTTTGTAATTGACTTTTGACGTGGCCGCCACCACTGCCGCTTAAATTAAAGCACCGGACAAAATGCATTGTTGCGTGGGGCCGCTCTTTCCGAAAACATGCCGAAATGTTCATCATTAGCTGCTAGCGTGAGAAGAGCAAAAAATTCATGCGTTGCTTGTTTACCTGCGGCCAGGTTAACCGCACTCGTCAAGTCTTACGCACATACACATCACGCTCTATCTCTCTCTGTTGGAAAAACACTTGTTTTACTCACATTTTCACTCTTGTTTTCTGTGTGCGTCAGAGTGAAACTGGAGATTTTGTGTGGGCGATGTTGCGACAGAAAACGTGGCAGAAGAGATGTCGCATTTTATTTAATTTTTGTGTAAGGGCAAAATTCTATATTATGCTCAAATGCTATATTATAAAATCACTCTAAATAGGTTAATTGTAATTGGAAGAAAAATTAAAATGCATAATATTTATTTATCTCCTTAATTTGAGTTGCAAATAATATTTGATATATCACAGAGGCCCATATCTAGATAAATTGATCATAAATTCAAAATAATTTCATTTTATTTATATTAAGGGAGAGAAATTACGCATCTTTACCAAATTGCAATTTAATAATAATATTTTTACAAATAAGTATCAACCGTAAGTGAGCTAACAATACCATTTTTTTTTTATAAAAACAAATATACAAATGAACTTGATTACATAATTCATTATATTTTTATTATTTTCACAGTGACTGCTCCTCACATAAGGGATATCCAAGTATTGACATACTATTATCTGGATCCGTATTGAAGTACGTGTTTGGAAAAGTGGTTTGCAAATATATTGTCGCGACAAAATATTCCGGGTATCCGTTGATATTATTCCAATACCAATCGGACACGTTGAACGGAGTATTAGAACTGCACCACCGGAATTTATTGCCTGTTGTTCCTCTGCGCGATACTGCCATCCATACTTTTGCCGGTCTTATAAAATTGCCTATTATTTGAATAATTTAAATAAAATAAAAACATTGCCATGGCTATAACATGTTTTGAAATAACCTAATGAAGCTGCCACAAGACACTTCAGCTCGTCCACAGTTTCCAAAGATATAAGATTCAAACCATACTCGCAACACAAAGATGCAGCTTCTCGATATAGAACCTAAATATAAATTAAGTGATTTTTTTTTTTACTGAATTTCAGGTATTTTTGCACTTTTGCATTGCCTGCAAAGTATTTTTTTCCGCAAATATCTTCTATGATACCATCAGGAGTTGGTGCTAATTATTTGCAAATAATTTAAAATGTATGTATATTGTATATTTTTTTACTTGATTTTGTTTCAAACAACAGTCTCTTGTTGGGCTTGTATTAAACTTGATTATTTTTGTTAAAGAGACTTAAAAAAAATTTACATTCAGCACGCATGCATAGTCAGTGATACACTGCCCCAACGAAGGCTGAAGCGGGGACGCTACCTGTAATAAATTTTAGGCTTTTGAACCGCCGTTTTTATCACTCTTTGAGCATACCACAGTGTTGTTTAATTCCACTGCTGTGATTGCATTCGACAAAAGCGTGGGTGCCTTTTCCTGTCCGCATTGATAAGACAAAGCAGCCGTGTCACACTCGTCCATGCCCTCTGTACACGATGTTGTTCATATTAAATTCTAAATGAACACAATTTCAATTTTATTACTTATGCTAGAGCATGCGTCTACAGCTTTCAAGTCATTCATTAATTGAGCGCTATTGTTTGGTGAAAGTGTCTCGGCCAATTTTATTAGCTGTTCGTCCACAATGCGTCCATTTACAATCTATGTATTTTTTTATATTGCAGTGATTTAAAAATTATAAAATGATTCAATTCCTCACCACTCCTCCATTTTCACCCAAACATTTTAAGAAACACTATATTAAATGTTGAATTAAATATTTTATTGTCATAAACATAAAACCAAATAATGATTACTTTTATCCTAATGTTGAAGGAAGTGCTATTAAAAATGTTGTCTTGCTCAACTAACAATAAATAACGATGAAAAAATTAATATTCATTGACAAATAGTCTTAAACTAATAAATATACCTGTAGAGATGTTATAAATCGATGCACACTCGTCCTTAATAGCTCTTCCTCCAGAAGCAGAAGAGCCAGTGTCTCGCGTCTGCATTCAGGATGTTATATTACAATTATAAATTTATCTAACACTAAAACCTCGCAAATATATTTTAAATTTGAAGTGCAATCGTTAGTGCTCAATGTGGTGTTGGTCACTGATAAATCTGCTGAAACGCAGTTTTTGCCACTTTGTGGATGTCCCTTGCTCCAGATTGGTGCCCTGACCAGTTTGTTTACGGCACACCAACCAAATGCACCGGTGCAACCAAAGTCGGTTCCGGAGGTCCAAAACGTTCCTGCTGAGACTTGCTGGTTTGTTTTCTCTAAAATGAATTTGATAATAGCGATCAATAGCTATCCAGGATTTGAAATTTACGCAGAGCATTTGCTAAGACACCATATTCATAATCATTGTCTACACTAAGCAGTTTCATTCCAATGTCACAACAGGCTGTTAAAGATTCTTCCCACTAACATAATGAAAAAAAAAATTATATTTACGATAAAAGGAAAATATTAAATATGAGTACTGTTTTTGCAGTGTTTCCAAACATATAAATTCTGTAGTTAATGTTAACCCAAGTTCCATATGACTCTGGATCTGAGAAAAAAACATTTAAAAAAAATTAATTAAATTACTGAAAAAAAAAATGGATGGACTATTTAGAGAGATTTTTTTATCCTTTTTTTTCACTTTTATGACATGGATTTAATTTTATCTACTTACTGCTCAAGAATGATGATTTGTCAAGAGCAGTGGTATACAAGGAAAGCTGATATAAGTGATTTTTATCATAATTATTCAAAGAAAGTAATATTAAATATAATAGCTCATCAATAATTTTATTACCTTTTTATCACAACTGCCACCTGGACAGACAGGTACATCGCATTTAGGAGCTGGTGTTGGAATTCCCTAAACGGCAAATGCATGTCATTATTAATAATAGGTGTCATTATTTATGAGTAACGGAAGGGCACAAACTTTGCATGCAAAAACGTAGGTGTCGTTGCAATTTCTGTCCGTTAGCTCGGTTGTATTTCTGTCTCTGGGAATGGAAAGATGGATACAATTTTGGGAGTTGTTTCTATTGTCGGGCTGTCCAACTGCCCACATAGAACCGACATCTGTGAATTGCGTTCCGTTTAAACTTAAGCACCATTGAAACGTGTTATTGGAAAAAAGGCGTCGTGCTGACGTCCAGTAATTATAGTTGTACCGCCATAATTCCTCTGTATCATTTTAAAAGAAATCAATTATTTACAACTTTTTTCGATTCAATACGCTTGGTCAAATTAGTGAGACATCTGAATTTTTCCTCAGTTTCAAAAGCAATCGGCGTCATTCCAATGCTGCAGCAACGCTCGACATTTCTCTCCCACGTGACCTTTTATTTATCAAGTTGTTATCAAACTTGATTTGAGAGCTGGCATTGCATTACAATTGATTTTCCAAACAAGTACAGTTCTCCACAAATCTCTCTCCACGATCCATACATCTTTGGTTCTTAAATGAAGGCTTATTATTTGTGAACATATTAAAACATAATGATTCAGACCGACAAGATTTTTTTCCGAATCAAAAAGCGAATTCTAAATAAGAAATATAATCTTGCAACATATTATTAATCAGGATTTATAAGCCACGCTTACGTTTCTTTGACATATCAGATGTGAGCAATCGTAAATGGACTGATTAAAAAGATATCAAAATTAAACAATTTGATTATGATAAAAACATTTACTCCTGGTTTCAGGGTTGTAGGAGCTCTAGTAGAAGTGGTGGTTGTAGTAGTAGAAGTAGTAGAAGTACTAGTTGTAGTGGAGGCAGTGGTAGCTGTTTTTGTTGTTGATTGGATTGAGGTGGTAACTGGTTTTTGGGTACTTGAACTTGCAGAAGGCGTAGTGCTACTTGTTGGTATAGTAGTTGTGCTCGTTAATATCAAAAAAACTGTTGATGTAATTGTGGGGCTAAGGGAGGTTGGCGTAGTTGATGCAGTGAAGGATTGTCTGGATTCAGGGATCAAGGATGCCGTTGACACTGGCACTGATTGAGTGTCTTGAGCTACGTCTAGTGTAGATATAGTTGAAACCTCAGATATAACCTATGAAATTGCTTAATGTGTTATTAAAGATCAATTAAATATTGGTTGCTTGATTAACGGTAAATAAACTCTTCGACCAATTTGATTGAATTAAAAGTTAGTGAATAACTTGATTTCATCAAATGTCAATTAGGGGTGGGATTTAAATTAATTCAGATTCAATGAATTGAATTCTCCAACAAGTGAACTTGAAATTTTGATTACTCAGTCTCATTCTATAAATTTGGATAAAATTTAACATGGTTTTTACAAATTTTGAAGAATCTGTCAAATTTCCCTGAGGATAATTAGAGTTGTAAACTACTTGTGTTTCCTTAGGAATGAAGGCGATGGTTTGTTCTTCTGTGGCTGAAACAATAGCAGTGGTAGAATTATCCATTTCAGTATTTTCAACTAATAGATGAGTGACAGTTGTAGGTATAGTCAAGTCTTTAACTCTTCCTGGGCCATTTTTATGTGTTGTTTTACTTTTGTTGAATAATGTTGTATTCAGCTTTGTACATGAATTTGCCCCACAGCACTGAATAATAAGCTTTCGGCTTTTGCCTTCAAGATATTCATATAATTAAGTCTTTGAATAAAATGTGAATAAAGCCATACTTGATTTCGAATATTTCAACTTATCTTGGTTCCTAGATTTTTTAGCTTCCAACTATAAATATTATTGAAAGTATTTTTTCTTCAAGATTTAAAATTCTATGGACTTACAGTTATTGCTAACGTTAAAATGCATAGGACAGTTGCGATCACTGAAAATTTTGCAATCCTCATGGTGGATGATGGTGTTCTAGTAAGCGCCTGACAATATCATTGTTAAAATAGTGTGTGAGCGTGAGCTGTCAAGCGCCTGTGACAGCAAGAGTTCACCGGATGCTACGAGAAAAACTGAAAAATGACGTCGATGTGTATGTTTCACATTATCATCACGGATTGTGAAAAAGATAAAACAGCGTATTTAGAATGCTATAAAAACTGAAATTTACACATTTTGGTATTAAAAATTATTTCTATCAGTTTCATACAGAGTACAATGTACACAATTTACTAAACACAAATTTGTGCAACATATAAGAGAAGAACAGTAAATTATTTATAAGAACGAACGGCTGTGTCCAGCTTGGGCTATTCCCAGCTATTCCTTGCGGCAGTGACCTATAATTTAGGATTAATTTACAGTATCTTAAAAAGTTTATTAAATGCAAAATAGTTTTCATAAATTTGTTTGAACCTATATTAATTTTTGAACTTTTTTCCATTTCATTTTAATAATTTTTATTTATCACAAGTTAATTATTGCCGAATCCTTGTTCTGATATTTAGTGTTTTGTTACAAAAATACACTATTTCGTATTTGTGTTTTTAAAAATTAATTTTTATCAAGTATTGTGCAAATAAAACTTTTAAGCTTTGGTCCGATTCTGGAGTGAATATCTTATCTTCTGAAAATTTTATTACAATTCTGTGACTCTTTGAATTTCTCATACATAATTTTTGTATGGATACTCGATAGGTGAGACTGTTCATGTAAGAATAGTTTGCGTGTGATATGCTAAAATCCTCGATCCACAGGCTCATGATCTTGCATGCAGATAATTAGATCTTTCTGCCTCTTTAGCTTTCTTTTATTTGCTCGATCACTGTTGGCGTTGAAAAACTTCGTTAGTGCACCTGACGAGTTAAGCAGAAAGTTTAGTACTAGTTGGTTGATCACGAAATGCGTGCAGCATCTGTCAATGAGGTGTGAAGCGAAAACATACTCATGGCCAACAAGCAGGCAAGTGCGCTTTAATCTGCATTAAATTCAAAACAAAAAATCAATCAATCACGTAATTGAATGAAAATAAAAACCCAATAATAGTTCAACACAAAAAGAAGCACAGAGAAAAGTAAAAATGAATTCATTCATTGAATATAAATATGAACTTAAATCCTCAATTGTCCACAATAAATTTTTAAAAAGGAAAGAGAATTTACTCCGATTACACAAAAAAAAAACATGCATCTCCCTTAAATGATTCGTTATTCTAGCACCTTATTCATTTGGGAATATCATTTTAACCGAGGATTTTATTGCTGTAAAGAGTCAATGAGGATAATGGATAGCGGCTAATTGGCCGCTGGCAAACACCATAATCACTGGAGCGGCTGCAGTTTCGCACGCTTGTCAGGTGCGGTGGCCCGAAGGTCGCGAGGGGCGGCGAAAGGTCGAGTGGAGGTGCTCCCGCGGTAATTTGCACTGCTCACTCACTCGGCACAGCGCCGAGTTGGATTACGCTAAATAATTAAGCGCGACCACATCGAGGTCATGCATGAGCAATTTTTCATGTGCAGGCCGCGTTTTGGTCGGGGCGCGCGCGCTCGCCACGGGAATTTATTGCCCTTTGCTGTGTGATTAAATTAAATTCGCCGTGTTTTGTTATCACTCATGGCCGCACAGACTGCCGTCGTGTATGTTGTTGCCTTTTTGCACAACGTTTGTTTCGCCCCTATTTTTATTAATTAGGAAAAAGAGCGCTTGTAACAGCAACTGCGTGCGACTTTGTGCTATTCTCTTCTCTGATTCCGCTCTTTTTTTTCGCAACTCTGTAATGGATGTGCACACACTGCGGGGCGTAATTAAAAAGTAGTGCACATGAAAAGCCGGCAATGATACAAGAATGAGCTTTTCGGTCACGGCCCGCGGCCTCCGAAAAGAGCAAAACAGCAACTCACTATTTATTCTGTAGAGTTTTTCTGTACTTTTTTTGTGAAGTAAGGCTGATTTGCTGAACTGATTTTGTACTTTTATTTTAATGAAAAAGCCGGATGATTTTTTTTAACAAAATCATAACAGAGCACATAGAGAATGAAAGAGAAAGTTTTAATACAACTTTTTTGAGTGAAAAACAATTTCAATTTTTATGGCTTGCTTTATCAAAAAAATTTTTTGTATAAGACCTTATAAATGAAAACTTTGCAACATAAAACTGTAAATCTAGCTATGTTATTATACATACTTTATGCCACTGTACATTTAATACTTTTACTTGATTTTTAATTCCAATACAGCCCTAAATATTATTTAAAATTATTTTATTTCAATTATTTATTTATTATTTTATATTTATTATGAACTAATATTAATATGACAGGTAATTACAGTCGTTTCAAGAAACTGTGGGACTTTGAAAATTTTTTAAAATCTTTTTAAATATTTTATAATATAATTTAATTTTCATTCATGCATATGTAGAACAAAGAACAAATCGTAGTGAATTAAAATTCATTTGCTTCTCCATAAGATGCGGTGTATTATGCTTTTTGAAATATGTCAGAAGATAAATGAGAGCAAGGCTTATTCACTATTATTGGCGATCAAGTGAAGCGTGATATACATGCAAATAATATTTTAAAACGTCAGATCTTTCTTCTGTAAACGCTGAAACAAAAAAAAAATTGTGCAGCAAAATGCATATATTCTTTTCTTTTCTTGAGCTGGAGAGATTGAAAAAAAAGCAAAAAAAAAAACTTTGTAGCTCCACAGATGCACGGTGGATACTGAGAGAATGGGAGAAAAGTATCTCGTCTGCAGAGAGGAGAATGAATAAAGCGAGGATTCGGAATAAATTGTTTTAATATGGAAAAAACTACGGCTGGCTGATTTAAGATCTATCTGAGCGGAATAGCGAAAAGTTGGGAGCAGTCAGTTAGTGAGTGAGTGCGCCTTTTATTGAGCCACAGGGGAGTTATAACTGTTTTGCTATTCCCAAAGTGTCGTAGTGAATACCAAATCGGCGCCGAGCCGAACACCGCCAGCATGCACCGCACCGATATTACATCGGCTTTGGCAAAAAAGTTGAGAGGCCGCGAGGTATTATTCTAATGCCGGGTAAATCCCTTTCCTAAGCGTCGTTCCCTGCATATTGTTTTTCCCCTTACAAGAAAAGTTTTGCTCAATTTATTTGATCAAATCTAAATTTACCTCATCCATTGAAGTGTATTATTTCTTACTTTTTCTCCAACAAAGTAATTTATTAAGTTTTGCGTTTTGATTTATTTTGACTAACGTATCTGCTACTCGCAATCAATTCGTTGCAAGCAGCTGGCCTTAATTACCATAGGCGCTCTGCTCATTATATGAATTAAAAACGAGTTTGCCTCACAGCAGCGGTTGCGCGGCTGGTGGGTGGGCGCGCTGAAATGAGTTGTTGTCAGTGCGTCGGCATTTAAATGTTTTGAATAACAAATACACGTTTGCACTGGCTGAGGAGAACCAAAGCAAACAAGATAGACAGAGAAGAATTTATTCAACTTTGTTCAGGGAAGTAATCAACCATCCCCCACTTGACGACACCCTCTCCTTTTGATGAAATTTTATTTTAAGTAGAGATGAGAGCAAAACTTAGTTTTGAGAAGCAAAATGCAATTTTGAACTTTTCCTAAACACAAATAATTAGTTATGGCTTTTGCATTACATTTATAAAATTGAAGAGAAACCAAGATAGATAAAAATTTTAAGTGACCATAGTTAAATATCATTAAATATGACACACAGTTTTCAATAATTGTCTTTGCTTATAGTCATTATTTTAATTTTTTATGTTACTACAAGCAAAAAATAAAATAATTAGTGGTTAGGCTCGTAACGATACGTCCACGTATGGTGAAAAATGTACCTGATAATTTAAGAGGGAATATGAAAAGAGTAAATACAAAAATTATTTATATGTTGCCTCTTGCTCGCATGTTCTTCAGGGGCACATAAATTGAGACCGTGCCTCGTTTATCTCTGAGCGAGATCTTTTGTTCAAATTACACGCTGATAATAGCAACGGTGTACATGAAAAAACTTAATTTGCTCTCTATTTGATTGCGAGGTGAAAGTAAAAATTTCTACAGGCCTAAAGAAACTTTATTAAAGTTTTGCGCATGCAGCACACGTGTTTTTTTACTAATTTATTTTTACTTATGTTATCCGTCATTCTATCAACTTTAATGACTTCATCCACACGCAATTACCATAATTACAGTGCGAAAAAATTAACACCGCCAGCGTTTTGCAATCAGAATTGTCTGTTTTACAGACCAAAGACCAAAGGAATGAAGCGCCGTTTTACATTTCACATGAATTTACATCGCTGCGGGCTGCCAACCTTAACTGCAAATTAAATAACTAAATAACATAAAAATTTTAAAATTAGAGATGAGTTAATTAGAAGAATATCTTCTCACAAGAATTTTGAAAATTTGGCAATAAAATTTAGGCCACTTTGCTGTTTAAAATATAAACAAGGGAGACCGTATCTTAAACAACTATTAATTGCCAAAGTGAACAGCGCGGGCAGAATGTGAAGCGGCAGTTCCAGTAAATCTCGTGACCGCAGGCTGAGCGCAGTTGCTAAATTCGGGGCGAACCGACGGCAATCTCTGTATTTCACCGGGTCGTCGTCTGGTATGGCCCCGTACGTTCGTTCTTGTTCGCCAGTTCGCTCCAAGTCGAGGTGGTGATAAATGTATTAGGGCGCGCCGCCGTGGGATTGCAGATGGGACCTTATTCTGTAAACAACTGCACAGCACACACCTATAAATTACTCGCTCGCCAGCGTTTTGCTGCTCGCCGCCACTTCAGAGCGTGCTGCACCCGCACTAAGTTAATACTGTCACGATATAAAATTCTATAAAACTTTGCGCCAACAAAGTAGAGTGCACCGCCGTGCTTGCCCTTGTTTGGACTCAGGCTTGTTAAGAGCTGCTCGTCGTTCTACACACCAATGTACAAGCTCTGATTTTTCCAAACACCAGCTGAGCTTCCCTCCGCTCAGTCTTATTAATCTTGTTACATTCTTCTCAAAAACGTTTTGTTCTAAAAAAAGAAAATATTCAGTTGATACTATACAATAAATCATTTCCTAACTATTCTGTAGCTTAAATCAAAACCTTAATAGTTTGAATTATTTTGTGCTATTGATATCTATGATATTTAAATTTAAATATGGCTTGTTTTTCGATGATACAATAAAAAACTCTAAAAACCAGCGGAGGAAAAGATGAATGCAAATTTAAAAATTTAAACGCAAAATTTTAATTCACCTTTTGCAATTAGGATATAGTTACTTGAAAAATAAACATAACATACTTATTTTTGAACTATGAATTGAATAAGAAATGTTCAAACTTTTCAAACTTTTAGAATTGTTAAATGCCCCTACTATCGGAGTTCGGAGTTAAAGATAATACATATACCCGCAACAATTTAATTTATTCATCAGTAAGTTTAAAACATTTTCTATTTATAAAATGATGCAGCAGTTGAACACTTCTGCGAAGTATAACAAAATCATTACAAGCAGATATTGTTGACATCTCCGAATGTAATATAAGTTGAGCACAAAGTTTGAAACTGCCTTTCCACAAACCCCACCCGGCATCTGCATAATATCCAAGTTTCGCTGCGCGCAATAACTTATTGCCAATTGCTTCGTTCCTCCTTCTATGGCCTCGCCCCTATTCGCTCTGCGGCTGCAGTAGCAGAAATTTTGCAAGAAATTGCCAATAAGATGGATGTTCTCTCATATGTTCCAGCAGAATTATTGCCTTCAATGATTGATGCACGTAGAAAACTGGCACGCTCGGGTTCGCTTGTGCGGTTTTATTCCCGGTAAATAAGGCATGCAAACATATCAATGCAACACGGAATATTAAATTCCCTGCACTCGCGTTTGCTTTTGCGGTGCACAATATTCAATACCACGATATTCATATTTTTGCCATCCAACAACAGCACAACTCTGTGCGGTAAATTTAAAGTTGCATATCGCCGTGAAATCAATAATTGTAAATATGAAACGAGCAGGCGATATTTCAAATCAAAGCAATTTTTTAGCTTCTCTAGTTCCAATTTTTTTCTGTGTTGAGAAAATCAGCTGCAAAATAATATGTTCCGATGGAGTAATAAAATACTGTAATTGTTTACTGCGACTGATGACAATGTTTGCGCAATAAATGTGCTGATTTGGCAGAGAATGAGAAAAACAATATTTAAAAAAAAAAACTGGCTCGAAGATGATCGGAAACTAACCAAGCATGCATGAGTTATGAAGAACAGAGAAAAATACGGTTCGTCTTATTCACATCTCTCCAAAGCAGAGCGCGCCGCTCTGTCGGAAGTCAATGGGGGAGAAGTAAAAATATACAGGAGAAACAGGGTAAAAGAAAAATATTACTTTCTGGTACCCAACATGAAACATTCAATGCGAATAAGAAAAATATTACGCGCTCATGAGTCAGCAGCAGTCACTTTTCAAGCTCGTCGATTTGTCTGTCTATGCGCTCCACTCATGTGGATGTGATGAATAAGGAAAGAGGGTGAATGGAAGAGCTGTGATGGTAATGATTGCAGTCATCTGAAAATTGACTCTGCGGAGAATAAACGCAGACAAATGGGCACCATCTGTGTATTTTTTAGTGTTCACATTTTGTTGTAAACTTGTTTTTTTTTCTTCTTTTGAAAATTTTAAGCATTATTTTGTCATTCTATATTATTATACAGAATCAATATTTAAAAGTCTCAATTAATTTTTTATAGCAATAAATTTTGATTCTAATTATTGAAAGTCATTTGTCCTCAAACAAACTGTTTTCCAATTAGAGAGGTAACTCTTGGGGCAGCAGATTTAATTAACTCCCCGACACCAAGCGCTGGTTCGAGGAGCTGACACAAGCCAATGTCCGTCCTCGCAGCTGCAAACTCGTGAAACTATTACGTCGTTTGTGCATTATCAAAGGCACACATGCACACATAGCCGGCCGTACAGCCGTGCTGCTGCCGCACAGGTTGCATAATTACTGCTGAAACAAAGTGCCAGAGAGGAAAATGCAGAACAGATAACCCGCAGTGCACTTGTGCCCTGTGCAAGCAGCCAGCACATTCGCATACACCGTCTGCTGCTTGCTACACAAGAGCGTGTTTGCTCAGCTTCTCCTCAACAATAACAATAATTAATACAGGGGGACACTTCTCCAGTTACTGGAGCGCATTTCTCAACTATCCAACAGCACTGTTGCGAATTTCAAACAAGGGAAGTGTCAAATTGAGGCTTTTTAAATGAAAATATATTACATGAAATAATAAATTTTTTTTGAAATTTCAAAACTCAGTATGAGAAGAAAAGCTAAAAAAAATATTTAAAAATTTTCCCATCATTGCTATCACAATTAAGACGAATTTTTATTTACTACGATGGATTTAATGTTCCACTACCCTTGTTGTATTCTCATCATCATTTGTTGTGGTGATTACGTTAAGAGAGACTCGGAGAGTAGAGAAATTATTAAGGTCTGCCTGACACTAGCTGCTCGCTGCAGCTATCATCTCTATATACCGGCGGCGCCATATTCTTCCTTGGGCGCCTCGTCTCATCTCTTCCTCGTCTCTCCTTGTTCTGGGTGGCTGGTGTTTGATTAAGATGGCAAACAGTCTATTACTCAAACAAGAACTCTCACAGTTAATTAACATTATGTACTCGCCTGTGCGAGTGATATTCATTTGCAAACACTGATGCAATTAAATACCTAGCTCGCCTCATCAACGCCGATGCGCCGCTCTTGTCACCCCCGACAGCCGCTTTGGCCAACTTGCTCTTACTCGCACCGCGTGCGCAATTAAGTATTGCTCACAGTGTAATTTCTATCTCTAATTCGTGTGAGAGGAAAATTAATCAACATTATTCTCATGTTTGCGCTCTTGTACTACACGATCGCGTGATCCGCGCCGAGAGGGGAACACGCCAAATTCCCGACCGTCACGCTGATTTGCATTAGAGTGTGTATGTACTTATTTGCGCTCCCTAGTTAGAATGCACTTTCGTGCTGCGAATCAATCATTTGAGTGCACTCTGGAACGAAGAGTATACTTCCCTTGATTTGCTTTGTAGCTGTTGGATGCATTACTTGACGACTAATTAAAAACGGAATTAATGCATAACTGAATTCTGCATTTGTCATAAGAGTTCATTTCAATTAGCAAAGATTTGATGAAATATTTTAACATTCACTTTCGGTTGCATATTTTCTTCTTTATAGATCTCTTATTAAAAAGTTATAAACACCTCATATCTGTTTACAAAAGATTTAAAAGGTTTACTCATTCACGTCATACATGTTTGCCTTGATAAGGAAGTCTAATGCTTCAAAAGCAAACATAAAGAATTATAAAATTCAGGCAAATAATTCCTCTTTCAAACAATAATATTCAGTTGCAAGAATTTTTGTGACGATTTGTGTAATCATAATAACCAGAGAAAGAGAAATAGATTTTTAGTTTTCTTAAAATTTTTTGAAAAATTAACAAAATTAAATAAGTGAGCCCAAAATATGCAGGGGAATTAAAAAAAAATTGCAAATAATGAATTATTAAAACTGGCTGTAATTTATTTTTTCGGCTTGTTTGTAAAATATCAGTCGTCCTCGTGGTCCGAAGAGAAGTCGCTGTCGTCAAATAGGTGCTCGTTGATGTGCTCGTCATGTTCGTAATTGACGCCGTCATCGTCGCTCACGTCCATGCTCTCGCTTGCAAAAAGATCATTCCAGGGCATCGGCAGGGGTTCTAGGAAATTTGGGTGGTGGACTCCAAGACTACCCTCGGGCAAAGGCTCGTCCTCAGGATGGAAGGGTGGGTACTCGATGAGAAAGTCACGCAGGCTGATACTTGGATCTGCTCTTGAAGTTTGCGTCCAAACACTTTCAGAGAAGGAGAGGTTGTCAAAGGCGGCGCACGCCATGGCTGAGGTCGGTTGCAGCATAGGACTCAGGGTGTACCTGTTAAATATTATATTTTATTTTTAAATTAAAAAAAAATTAAGGTACCATTTGTCAGCAACAGAGTCATAAGCCTCAACGTCCGCCACAGGTTTTTGGCTGTAACCACCAATGGCGTAAAAGATGTCACCCACCCTGACAATTTGAAAGGTACTTCTGGCAATGTTCATGGGCGCCAGGGCAGTCCAAGTGCGGGTCTTTGGGTTGTAGCGCTCACCGTCGCTCAACCGCTCTGTTCCATCAAATCCGCCTATTAAATTAAAATCATGAAACTTAATGATTTGAATTCCCTGAATCAATTTGATTTTTTTTTCATACCAAAAACAAAAAGATGTCCACGGTGTGCAATGCAGGCTAGGCCACTTCTAGGTTTGTTCATTGGGGGCAGGAGTGTCCAAGTGTTTGTCTCTGGACAATAGCACTCCATACAGCTCATCACTTCTGTCCCATTATATCCCCCCACCAGATAAACTTTACCTTTAAAAATATGATAAATTATTTAAAACTAAGCAAAACTGTTAAAAAATTTTATTATAATTTTAATTAAACAATTTTGCTATGGATAATTTAATGATAAAAAAAAGCTTTTCATATTTATTTTCTTTACCATCCAATCCTGCTGCAGCCGCATCAGAATGGCACTGGAGAGTGTTGGCGATCTTTGTCCAAGTGTCTGTCTTAGGATCATATTTCTCAGCCGCTTTCAAACGCTCTTCCGACGACTCGCGCCCTCCCAAAGCGTAGAGATGGCCGTCCATCACTGCAGTGGACACAAAGCATCTGCCGTGGTGCATCGAGCAAATCGGCCGCCACGTAAAGGTCGAGAGGTCAAGTTTGACGCCCGTCTTCATACTGTGCTCTTTGTCGCTACCCCCAACTACATAAACAATGCCGTCGATCACCTCTGCGCGGTGGTAGCTCCGAGGCCCATCCAGTTGCAGAGAAGCAACCTATAATTATTAAAAAAAATTGCCTGAACCTTAGTATTTCCAAAATTGAAATTAAGAAATACATTTGTCCATTTGTTGGCAATGTGATCATAAACTTCGGCCATGGCGCAAACTTCCTCGCCCGTCCGCCACCCTCCGATGGCGAGAATGGAAACGTGAGGTATACGCGGACGCACGACAGTGGGCAACTGCCCCAGCAAGAGTTCCTCTGTAGGCTCGTGGTACGATTGGGCCAAGGTGATCGATTCATGTATGCAATTCAGGGCATTTGTATTGTGCGTCACCAGCTCATGCTCAACAAGCTAAAATTTCAAATGGAAATTTTAAATTATTTTAATAATTATTATTGCATTAATAATTTACTTTTTCTATGAAATCTGGCTCGACGAAACCTATTCTCAAGGTGGATAAAAGGGGCACCAGACACGCTGCCCGTCGTTCTGGGTCGGCTCTGATCCAACCCTGGATTGCCACCCACACCTTTTCTTCGTGCGAGGCTTGCAACCTGTCGTCCAGAAGCAGAGCCTTGAAATCTTCAAAACTAATAGACGATGGAACGTCATCAAGCAAGTGGCGCAGGACAAACTTTTCAGCAGTCGGGGACGCTTTTTTTAAGTAATTGGAGCTGAAAATATTAAATTGAAAATTATATATTTTAAAATATAAATTAAATCACCTTTTGTCCAAGTGGACTTTCAGAGCCAACTCCATGTTGAGGCTGTTTTCAAAAATCCGCAGCACATGCTTCTCCATTGCATCTATTTGCAAATACGCAGCTGCCCGGATGAGCTCCATGACTGCCCCGCAGTCTTTCTCGTCCAGGTCGCATCTTCCCAGGTAAGCGAATTGGATCACGAGCTCCAATTCGCGTCCTTTCACCTCTTGCACGCGAAGTTTCATTATGCCTTTCTTGCTATTTTCGATAATCTTTGCCCTGTTTTTGAAGAAGAAAAAGGTCTTAAAATTCTTTCGGGTCCTTCAAATTTTAAATAAATTTACCTCAGTTTGGGGACGGCGGCACAGATCAGAAAAGAGTGGGTGTTGAACCTCTTGCCATCGCCTGCGAGCAGTAGCAAGTCGCAGTTGTTGCTCTCCTTGTACAACTTGTAAAGGTTTTGGAACATGGTGGAAACTGCGACTGGATCGGCGTCTGATGCCATTTTTTTAAGAAACAGAAAAACGGCTAAATTCTTTTCAGCGACAGGCAATTTAAAATAAAATCGATAAGAATTCTTTGCAACAACGAGAACCCAATAATATGGTTTTCATACATTATATTTTCATTGTTGAAATTATCAACTGTCGACAGTTGATTTTTGATTGTTGAAAAAATCTATTTAATAGGTGCATTTTTTCTCAAAAAGGATTATAAATTTAAGGTTATTATCTATATAAAAAAATAAATAAATATATACAAAAAAATGCCAATGAGAAATAAGTTTTATTTTAACATCTATATAATAAGTGCTAATCAGCACTTTCTCATTTGAATATTTTAAATAATCTATAATTTATGTTTAAAGGAATTATTGGGGGATATTGACATGCTAATAGTGAGTTAGGACCAACAATTCCCATAAGCTAACAACATGTGAATATCCCCCATTATTTATTATAGTTAAATAGATTTGCATCTTCAAAAAATTAAAAATTAAATTGAATCCTTCGTCGAGTGTTTTTTTATTTCCGCTTCTATTTTAAAATTTTCTTAATAAACGTTTAAAATTGAATAATTTTAGCCGCTGTAAAACAAGCTCATCAGGCCTAGCAAAAACGCACAAAGGACGTTGCCGTTGTGTTATGATCATGCTTTAACGAGTGGTAATTAAGTGACGTGCAGAAACCCAAAGGAGAGAAACGACGTGAGCCAACGCACAAAAGCTTGCGGATATGTGTTTACATGTGCAAAATAAGCCAGCAGCAGCCAAAACGTCGGTTGTTCCACGATCATCTCGTCTCTCTTGTGTTTCATATGTGTGCATTTAATACCGCGTGTTCTCTAAACGAGGGCCGCTGGGGACGTTGGTTGCTCTGCCTGGTGATATCTCCAAAACATATTATACACATCGCCGCCGGAATTATGCCAAGCTTGGCCAGGGATGGGAGAGAGGTGGTGTGCAGCTCTGCAGCATTACCTCTCTCAAGCTTGACGAATAATGAGAAAATCATTGCTGAAAGTCCGTTCATCCACTGAGAATAAAGATTAGCCCTTTTTCTAGCTTGTAATGCGTGGAAAACTCAAACCGCGTTACTTACTCGTCGTTTGCATTTTTTCCAAGGCACGTCATTTATTTTCACATCAGCTGAAAAAGGTTTATTTTTTTTTTTTATAAAATCTGTATTTTATTTAATACAATATTTTAAACTATCTTGTTTAAATTTTAATTTACAATATTTTTTAGTAAAAAAATTATCATATACAGAGTTGTCTTCAGTATATTCACTTGGTTAACTATGAAGCATAAATCAGCTTTAGTCATTCTAAGGTAATCCGACACACATACATGGCAATATGGATTTCAATAAAAAATATAAGTTCATTCACTTGTTCTATAAATTGAGATTATGAATTTTCGCACACTAAAAATTTAGTCAAACAAAATGTGTGTCATTTTTTCTTTTGTTGAAAATTCCTTAATTTAGTAGGTAAAATTAAGGTCCGCCAGTGCGTGCGTCGTTTTCTATTTCAAAAACCCTCAACCACCATATCATCTACCGCATACCAGTCACTCGACGAAAAATATAAAATGTTTCCAAGAGAGGCGAAAAGCCCGCAGCTTTTCCGTGCGTTTTTGGCGTTCCGCTCGCGCCTTTTTGCCTTCATGCTGATAAAACAATCCAGGCCGATGGGGTGCTAATGTGGCGACAAAAGCATTTTCTCACTCGGAAAAATAGCTGAATACTCAATCTCGCTGCTGGCACGGCTCATTCAGCCAGCAAAACTCCCTCTCGACCCTTTTCAGCTGCCAATCTAACACCGGCCACCCCTACTTAATTTATGCAAACAGAGTAGTGGAGCAACCCTTTCCTCCGAGTCGCGTGACTCGATTTTCTCAGCAATTAGTCCTCCTCAAGTGTCACCACCCTGTCACAGCGACTGACGACTTTATTGAAATCAGATCAGTGATGGAAATGTAGCACAAGCGGCACTGAAAAAAAATTAATTCAATAAATAATTATTCTGCATATTATGCCTGATTTCTAATTAAAATAAAACTTTCAATATGCTTATAAGGCATATGACTAGCTGATGATTGAGTAAATTCGTTAACATGTTTATGAAATTCCATTAAAATGTTTAAAAATATCATTTTTAAATTAAAAATAAAATACACAGATTTTCTTAGCAATAATAAACAAGTCTCAAAAATATGTTTTAAAAACCAAAAATATTTTTCTTCAGTAAAATAATTTTATTTATCAAAATAATATAGCAACGATAATGTTGGCTAGTTTGTTGATTGATTATATAATTATTACATAAACATAAAATAATGATTCATGGTCAGAATTTTTAAGTTACAAAAGAAAATAAATTATTATTTTAATTTTCACCGCCTCTAAAAATAAACCTTTAGACAGGCTTTAGCGTTGACATTACAAATAGGACAGACTGCACTATCATTCTGGTTACACTCAAAGCAGAAACTCATGTGGCCACAAGGCAAATTTACAGAATCGACTTGCTTGTGGCCACAGCCTTTGCATTGATTCAAAATAGCTGCCGCACCTTGAAATTGCACGGCCTGATAGTCGCTTCCCTTTTCCTTTTCTAGACCGGTAATGCTACAATCAGTGCTTTGCGCACAAGCCACACCTTTGGCTAAAATTACAAAATCGCAAGTGCAGCTCCACTTGGCATGCTCGCTAAAGGGATCGTCTGTCGAGAGCCAATCTTTTAATCCGAGACCGCAGGAAAAACAACAGACTCTGTCTCCGGCGCCTGTGTAGAAAAATCCGGCTGCTGCCAGGCTAGCTGGCCTTTGTGCGAGGCTTTTCGGCCAGTTTTTGAGCGACTTCAGTCTGGCGCCCAGCACGGCATACTTTTTGTATTTCGCCTCTTTGATCTTGAATATTCCGAGTGCCTCCTCTACTATTCTTCTCAAGTTCCTATTGAAAAGCACAACTTTTCCGTCATCTGCAATAAAGGAACAATTAAATAAAGTGAGACTATAAATTCGATGTTGAATTATTACATAATGATCCGTTGAGCACGCTGACGGCCTTCACATCAGTGTCTTCAATTTCGCAGCCAATTGGCACGTTGGCGCAATGTGATGCCTTAAAAATTGGGCATTCTTCATTCCACCTTCGATGTTCTCCATCCGCAGTGTCACCAGGCTCCCATCCTCTCACCTGGAGTTTGCAAAATTCGCATTGCACATTGTCTTCCGGTCCAATGAAATAAAATCCGGATTTTGCCAATTCATGTATTGGCACGGGGGCAATCCATTCAACATTGTTTTTAATAAATGAAATCAATCGGTGAGACTCGTATTTATAATTCAAATTTTCCCCCAAATTTAATTGATCGCTTGGTTCAAAATATGTGCAGCTTGGGGAAATATCGTGGTGCCTCTTCTCCAAAGCCTCGTTGCTTTTGTCCGCAAGCTCATTCAAACTTCCAATTTTTTCTCCACAATGAAAGCAAATTACGTCACTTGTTTCAGTGTTTAAGAACAGACCAAGATTGACTAGCTTTTCTATGATTTGATATTTAGTCTTAAACAGATATTTCCCGAAACTTAAAAACCGATTAGTCGCTTTTGTATAATTGGTGAGAAATGGAAATTGCCATAGAAATTCTTCACATATTGGCCATTTATTTTGACTTGGAGTCATTCGTAAATTCTGGAATTCTAGATAAATTGATTTTAATTGAAGTCCACAATATAGTAACAATGAGATTGGTACTTACTAGGTTTTTTGTCACCGACTCTATTTTAGCACACAATATTCTAAGCATCGAGAGCACTAAAACAATGCTTCTTTGGTTTACTGCACCAATTTATAAATGGAACTTTATCCAAGACCAGAACGTCTACGTGTATAATGAAGTGCTGAGTCAACTGCGGATGTCACTTTATATGTCACTTTATATAAATCACTAGCTATAAGATAAGATACCACTTTAAAAAAAGTCGAAGTTTTTTTTTTAATTTTACTGTTTACCGCGGCGGCAGAGTCTCTTTTGATATCGGGCGTTTCAGCAGACATCTGCTAGTTGTGAACGCTTTCTTCTCTTTTTCTAATTTAAAATATTTTTGCATTGACCGAGAAGAATAAATGTAAAGACTTGACGTGTTCTACGGGCAACATTAATTAACATGTTTTGGAGGTATTTTTGTGCTTGTTGATGACTGTAAATTTGTGCTCAAATGAATAAAACAATTATCTAATCTAATCTAATAATAATAATAGCAGCGAGAACTTTATGAGAACAAGAAGTCTCAGAACGCATAGATTAGGAACATAATAATTTGACCTACACCTGATGTATCTGGGATTTCCTGCTCCCTATGGCGAGATGCAGGGGCTGTGGTCAACAGAATGTAAGCCTCTGGGTGGCACGAAACAGACCAGAGTAATTAGTTTGTGACCCCTGGGACTGGAAAGATTCTTGGAAACCAGCTTCTTTGATGCTTTAGCGAATGAAGTCTCTTGCTGAAATAATAGTGCTTTGTAAATACCCAGGCTTTGCTTCCAACAATAAAACCAGCCTATTTTGCTGTACGCTTTTTGAATAATTAATTGTAATTGATAATCATGTCCCATGTTTCATGTATTTCTCCTAAAAATTTTTGTTTTTAATCCATGTAACCCTGGAATATTTGTCATCTTGAATATCAATTATTTGCACTATGAACTGAAATTTTGACTCGTGACATGATTAGGGTAAATAAGGAGCCCGAAAAGGTTTTATTATAATAAGAAACATAAAAACTCACGTTTCATGGCATGTTTTTTTCCTAGAAGTTGTTTTAGCATTCCAATCTTATCATATCAGTCTTCAAGAATTGGTCATTGAATTACTTTAAACATTAATAATTAGTCATTCTTAGAGAGAAGTCTAATTTCAACATTAAATGATTTGCACGAAATAATAAGGAAAATGATGACTCGTCTGTCTTGTGAATTCTTCATTTTATCTTTGGCTGATGTGCCGCGATTTCTCTCTGGAAAAGAGGCCAAGAGAGAGAAAAGCAGGAGAAGAGGCACGAAAAGAAAGAAGACGCGGAGGCTTTTGTTCTTAGCACACAAAGGGAGCAATAATCTTTATTATTTAATTAATCGATACTCCTTCATGTAGTAGCTAGAGTACGTAGTACTGCCTCTCATTCCGCAGCAAAAGCTCGGATCCACTTCTCCTGCTTCTTCCTACCACCCATTCTCCTCGAGCTTTTGTACAGCATGCTTTAATTTCCTTTTCAACAACTTTATTCATATAGACAATGGCGCAGAAAAGAGAGACGGAGAAAAGACTTTAAATCTTGTTAAATTGGATTTCAATAGCTGCGTCGACGCCGACGTCGAGAGAGCGCACTTGCCGAACAATAATAATAAATCTCGCGGAGAAGAGGCACAGTGGCGCGCGCCCCCGAAATAAATATATTTACAACTCAAATGTTATGAATAAATTAAATCCCGGCACTTCATCTGCATCTCTCTCGCTTTTCTTTCTTCATTCGTTAGCACGGAGAAAAGGAACAGCAAACTTCTCCCTTCCTCGTCGGCAGTTTAAAAGTTTGCTGATATTATGGCGGCACCATGGAAATTGCTCGCCATTCGAACAACGAAACAAACAAAGCTCTCTGCTGTTGGGGTGCAGAGGAATTCATCAAGTTGCCCGCCTTGCTCTTTCTCTCCGCCTATCTCACACAGCACAATGCGCCTCAGAAAACAATAATATAATTTCAATTCAAAGGCCATAAATTACCCTTATCCGCCCGGCGCGTTATTTTCTCTTTTTGGGCACTTGTTTAGCGGCTGCAGGATGCCGATCCGAAATTCTGCGCTCCTCCTTTAAGACGCCTCGACGAGTGCGTGAGCTGTTGTCACTCTCGCCCATTACTTCCACTCCGACGCTTGCTTTGTTCACACTTTAATAATATGCGCCCGGCCAGATTAAAATCTCCTCTGTCTCTGTCCTGTAATAACGACAGACGCGCGCGCTCGCGAGAGACCCGTCCATCCGTTTCGCTCTCTCTGTGTCTGTGAGCGCGAAATTTCCCTGCTCTTTTTTCAAATGATTAAATGGTCGCATGGGACGCGCACGACGGATTTTCATGCTCAAAAGGAGGCTTTGTGTATCCTGGATTCCCTCTGAAACAGAGGGGTACACGCTTTTTTATTAATTTAATTTTGTTTCAGGGGAAAGAAAGTGGGTGAAGTGGCTTAGTAGGCTTATCGTATCTGCAAGTTACAAGTATTCAGCGGCGGAAAAAAAACAGCTGAAAGAAAGAAACTGGAAATTCTTTTGTGAAAAATTTTAGCTAAAATAGGGCAGAAAAAATACTTATTATAATGATTAAGACCAAATATTGCACAATATTACACTTTCTTAATACTGAAAGTAAATTTATTTATTATGCTATTCTTTTACAAACAATGATTAAAAATAAATTTACTGATATTTATAATATAATATGGGTGAATAAATTAACAAAGACAGTTCAAATATGCAGAAAATTATTGTTAACCTGAAATAGAACATCAACAATAACTTTATATAGAAGCTTACAAATTTTTTTTTTGCCTACAATGGAATATAAATCATAAAAATATCCATAATATTTTCCATATTTTCAATTCTTATTAAAACAATTATTTATTATATTTTTCTTTGTATCATCGATTCAACAAGTGTGGTTGCAGAATTTTAATTTTTTGATGAAAGGTTAAGAAAAAGTTCAGAAACAACTATCTTCAGAGTTTTACTTTTAATAAATAAGCCTGAAAACAAGGGATGCAAAATAAACCATCCTCAAAAGATGCTGTCCAATTTTCCTTCCAGTCGGTAGCGCATGAAATGCATTCAGCCAAAGTGTACATGCTACATTTTATCCCAAAACAGCCCCAAAAACACGCCGTGAGCGTTTTGTTTTATGCAAAGTTGCCTGGCCATAGCATGCATGCACCGTGCGTCACACACAACCGTGGAGCAATTTGGAGCAAAATATGTTATTGCTCGTATTACAAGGGACCACGTGCGTGGCCATTTGCATAATGATGCCCAGTACCAGAGCAAGAGGGCCGAGAGAAAGAGGAGAGCGGCCGACAAATTTCTTGACGCCCTCGGCAGACAGACGCAAAAGAAAACGAACCAAAGGGCAGATGATGAATCTCTGCGGTAGTGCCCTCTCTTCGTGATTGATAACCTTTTTGCCCTCACGCGCCTCGGAATGAGATGCTGTGTTCGGCACAAATCACTTCATTTTTCCTCAATGAAAAAGACGAAGGGCGCGCTAGCCTCGTCAAGTGCGAGTTCAGGAATAGAGCACAAATAGAGACCCCGACTCTGCTGATTTGATGCTTTTCTGAGAAGGCAGACAAGTTTTGGAAAGGAGCAAAAATGAGATTTTTTTATCATACATTGGAATAATGATAATAAAAAAATCATCTCTCCCATTGCTTTAAACATTTTATTTTCAAGTTAAAAAATTTTGTGTCCTGGGGTCTAACAATAAGAACCAAATTGAAATGAGTTCTAAAACATCAAAATAATATGTATTCGTCGCATTACAATTATTTAACATATTTTCTTCTCCTGGTATCAAAAAATTTATCATTATTATGCAAAAAAATGAACAGTTCAACCTATACTATCGGCTTCTGTCTGCAGCCCTGTTTTACGCGAGAAGATAAAATTAATTATGAAAAGTCAGGCAACCAATTAAAGAACTGCAACGTGTATAATGTTAATTGAAATTTAAACCAAAAATATTTATGTATTTTTTGTTGAAAACAAAATCCTTATTTTATATTTATAGTTTATTTTTTTTTACTCGATAAAATTTCATTTTTAATTATTTAATATAAATTTTCTATTTTCTTATAACTACAATCATAAAATTGTGAATAAAAATTTTAAAAATAAACAACTATCTGATTCAATTAGTTAGCAATGGGTTTAATATTTTTTTTATCTATTAAATATATTTTTGTCTTTTTTTTAATGCCATGTAATAATTTTATCAAAAAATCTTTTAATACTTATGTCGTTTCATATTACACCACTGACCCCTGAATGAGTTAAATTGCATCTAAATTTATTGTTAATGAAGATCGTTATTCATTTAGAAAATTAATAGATACAAGTCTTAAATAGTTTTCTGCCTTCTATCGTCAATCCATAATAATAACTAAAGTAATACTTTTTCTAATAAACTTTGACGTTCCCAAAAAAACGCGCATCTTTTTCTCACCAAAATCCGAACAGCGGCCCAAATAAGGTGAACTCAAAGGTGCACGCAAAGGGTTGGTTGGCCAGTTAGCCACTCGAGGGGTGGCTTTGGTGCGAGGTGGGTCTGCCACGAGGGACGCTTGCTTTCGTCCGCGCTCTGACCACGGCACGATGTCTTCCACATGAGCGGCGAGTCTGCCACGCGGAATATATTCGCTACTTCCTATCTGCCAGAGGAACACGGCTCACATCTTTTATTACATTCAATATCAAGGCTGCGGAGAGGGAATTTCAGCCAAGGGCCGACCAGGGCGACAAATGCAGCTAGCCCGGCTGGAAAATAGCACTCTCAAATTCGCCCCGGTGACTCGCACACGCCTTGTTTGACTTTCAAATTTTTGCCTGTTATGCTGCCTTGGTTAGTTCCTGCTAGAATACAGCCTGAATCTCCCTCTATTTAATTCTCTCCCGTTTAATTCTGATGTTGCCAATTAAGTTTTGTTCAATTATTCATTGTTCTCAGAATAAAAGTAAAATGCTGCAAAAGGTTCTTTTAGATTCTTTTGTTTGCTATAGAATTTGAAAATGAATTTTTATTTTTCTTTATTCTGTTTGGACTTGTGCAGTTATCTAAAAGTTGCACATAACAAACGTTGTAGCCACTTCTTATGAAGGAAAATATAGATTAGTGATAATCTATTTTCT